GTGACCGTTGTTTTGTTTTGATCTCTCCCCTGCGCTTCCGCGTTCGTCACTTCTGAGCGGCCGCGCAAAGCCGACCTCATACGTCATCCACCCACAAGCTAGATTAAATTGATTATTACGTTTTAAATATAGATATTTTTCTTACAAAAACGTATCGATTTGATACGATTCACCCCTATTACGATGCAGTGCGATCCGGCTCTGACATTTGGTGTTTAGCAATAGCCTTGTTATTTTATATATTTTGCATCAAACATTTAATATTTACTTAGTATAAAACATACTCTGCAAGCAAATTTGGACTTGAACTTGTACTTTAATCGTGCAACATAAGCACTCAAAAGAAAATTATAATTTGTTTCATAAAATTATGACTTGATTCAGTTATGGACGTTGTTCATGTGTTCACGTTAATGTAAAATTACCAGTAGACTTAACTTAAATATGTAGAGAGAGAGAGAGAGAGAGAGTCCCATGTCAAATGAACTCAAACTAATCTTTTCAGAATTAGATGGCAAAAGCACACATGCAAGAACATAGCATATATATGAGCAATATCATACGAGTCGCCGTCAGGGGCATGTTTAGAGTTTTGAGGGCACTAAGCAAGAAGCTCTGCTTAGTGGAAATCCCATCAGTGGCAGTCCCGTTCCCCCGTGGGACCCCCGTGGTTTGCATGTTGCCTAAACATGCTATTGGTACACTGTAAAAATTAGTGTAATTTTAACTGTAAAATACTGTAAAAACTTTATGGGGAAAAAAGGCTAATCTAGGTTAACAGTTCCCATACACTCTAAAAAATGCTGGGTTGTTTCAACCCAATGTTGGGTCAAATATGGACTAACCCAACTGTTGGGTTAAAAAGTTAATTTAAAAATGTAACCAAAATTTAACCCAACAGTTGGGTTAGTCCATATTTGACCCAACATTGGGTTGAAACAACCCAGCATTTTTTTAGTGTACTATTATAAAAAATTGTAAAAGATCTAGCCAGACATTTCATTTAATTTTACAGCAAAATGCTGTTAATTGTACAGTTTTAGAAGTAAAATCAATATATCATTTAAAAAGTCAAAAACTGCAAACTGATATTCCAAGAATTGTTAGTGCAAATCATATTTCTGACCTACGCTGGAGGGCAGCTACAAAAAGGCATGCTGAAGAGATGTTTTCACTAAATCCTTTTAAAGAAAGGTCAAATAACAAATGTTGGCTTTGAGGTTTGATCACATGAACACTGCTTCTTCTTGTGGGTTTTTGGTTAGTAACTCAAAGGCACCAGTCACTGTGTCAACTACTTCGACTACTGGGGGAAAGGAACCAAAGTCACCGTTTCCTCAGGTAAGATATTGTTGACATTTTCTGTTATTCCATTTTTATACAATTTTGAAGATCAGGTAAGGTCTTGACACAAATAACATGCAGCCGTATTTACAATTTTTGTCTTTGCTAATAGTGGAAAGGGGACGTCGGTAATCGTAAACAATATCGAGTAAAACTCTCAGATTAAAGAAAGTGCGCACTAAAATCTCTAAACTAGTCGCTTTGATAACGGAGGCCTATGGCAAGACAGTGTAAATGTACTATTAGGGTTATGGTATGGCTCTTATCGTAAATCTTCTCGTTGTGACGGTGCCTTTGACTACTGGGGAAAGGGAACAACGGTGACTGTAACATCAGGTAAGAAGTCAGATTTTTATTTAGTTAGAGCCAAACTACAAAAAATGCATGTTTAGTAACAGACTTTTAGTCCACTAGTTTAAAGAGAGAGCGAGAGAGAGAGAGAGAGAAATCATGGACAATGTTGCATTTAATTATGAAATAAATAGAATTGTAGGGTTTGCTGATAAAAAAAAATCGTTAGTGTTTTTGTGCACTGAAGAAATTAAAAGTATCACTGTGACTTGCTTACCATACATATGTCTCCTGTACATGTGTTTTCTTTTTTAGGTGAGCCACCTGAGCCAGAGACAGGCTTTGCTCTGGACTGCAATAAAGATGTTCTGGAGGAGGATGAGCTCAGAAGTCTCTGGTCCACTGCCACCTCATTCATCTTCCTCTTCCTCTTTTCTCTGACCTACAGCGCTGTGCTCAGCTTCTTCAAGGTAATACAACTATTACTAAATAACGTGCCGAACATTTTAAGTAAGATGATGCCTTTTGGAACTTTTACTGCATGTTCTTAGTGTTATATGAATGCTTCAATTTAGATTGCATTAAGTCTTGAATGTGTTTTTAACTATAGATATATATTTTTTTGCAGGTGAAGCAGTGATGATTTGTTAAAAGAGCTTGTGAAGACTCCAAGGTTTTTTATTTGTTTTGTGACTGTAATTAAATGTTAGTCTAATGTATTTAGAAATCAAAAAAAGGAAAATAACCACGCCATCTCTATCTCTCTTTTGCTCTGTCTGTTCCTGTCTTTCTGTAAGCTTGTCTGAAAAACATTTGGGCTTTCTGAGATGTTGAAACTACATCATTTGCCTCTGTGCACACATTTTTGAAGACACTGACAAATATGTACACATATCAATAAAGTCTTATTATATCTCTGTCAAAATGAGATTTTACTCTTTTGAATATTATATCAGCCTCTTACTACAACTGACATTATCTTGCATTTTCAGTAGATATTACTGTGATATTAGCAGAGATCCCTCAGGACATACTAAAATGTGAGAATATTATCTAACAAAATATACAGCCATGACCTCAATCTTGATGTGTTTGCTGCTTATCTAAAAGTATGAGGGCAAAAACATCTGTAGATTTCTGAGGAACTGCTAAATCATACAGATGAATAAAGTAAAGCTTTTGAACACCATTGGAATATTCTGAAGAGAGTCATATCTCAAACAAATCTGAAAAATCTAAATTTTTACAGTTATTTTTTATGTTCTTTTAAGACTGATTTAAACTGCACACAAATTCCTAGAAAAGCTGGAATTTTGGGTCATGCAAATGTGCATTGCAATGTGTTTCACATCACATTTTACTGTGTGTTTCTCTCGGTTTTCGGGTGTTGTATTTAAATATTTCATCTCTGGGGATCCACCAGTGCAGATGAACATCTCACATTCAGCAGCTGCAAACTGTCTAGCACTCAAGGATTTTTTTTTTCTTAATAATAGCCAAACAGTAATAAACTGAACAACCCATGTGCAGTTTCTAACAAGCATGATGAGCTGCAAAGAATTCAAAACAAATGGTCATGTTGTAAAATGCCCATTTTACAAACACTGTTTATTCTGTGATCTGATACAAAACAACATCCTCTTAATATGTAGCATGCTCATTAATACACTTAAGATTCCTTTTAATTACATTTTGTGGTCTATCCAAAAATGATGCTCCTTGAAACTGAGAATTCGGCGTGTTGCAAAAAAACTTCACAATCATTTTGATGTCTAAGAAATGTTGCTTTGCTGATATATGCAAATATGCTGGGCGAGTGTTTCATTTGACTATAAGTTCTCTCGAAGGAATTTCAGAATGTCAAAATTAGATCTATTCGAGAGCGTCTATGTAGTCAGGTCTCTCTTTCTTCCTCTTTTTGCTCACATCTGCTGAAGTGAAACTGCGTTCGTGTTGATGACTAACAGTTCTTAGGAAGATTGAAATGTTTTAAAACCGAAGCCAGCAACGACTTATTTTATTACACTTTATTAATATTAATATTTTATTTATATTTATTAATGCTGTACATTGTTTATTTTACACTTATAATGCGTAATTCAAAAATGTGAAAAAAGCGTATTTAATTTGGAAAATATGTAATATATATAATTTCTGTAGCATAACTTTATTGCAATCACTATACGAATAAAAACGTTTATTTAAAAAAGTACACTACTTTTCTTAACATTTACTAAAAAAGTTGATAAATGTTATGGGTAATGTAATTCTTAAAAAATAAAAATATGTTTTTTAAAGATTCTCAGTTCCTGAATGCACATGGCGCTAAAAAGCAGAGTCCTCCAAATGCACTTTCATGCAAGGTCTTAAACGTACTTGTTTTTGCATATTGCTGACCCTTGCGCCCTCCAGTGGTGAAAACTATTTACATTGACGTCTTTTACAGTAACGAGTCCTCAAGTGAAGCCGAAGATGCAGTTAGCCTATATGACCCATCTGAGTTTTGAAATGCATTTTGTGTGTAGATTTGATTGTTTTACCCTTGTCCCGGACCCTATCTACTATCTAAACAACATTTTATACATCAGATAAGTCCCTGAAATGGAAGAAACAACCTTCCCATAACGGTCATACATGCCCATTTGTGCAAACTTGGATCACATGATACGAACTATGAAATCGTAATAATACAGCCTTAATAGATAAACTATGAGAAACAGAAACCATTAGTTCACCACTCGACTCGGCCTTTCGTTCGGTTGTCATGTGGCAGGCGCATGTCGGCTCCAAACAGAAAAGAGAAATGATTCACGTCACGTGACAGCCGCACACTCTTAGGGAAAAAAAGGTACAAAAACTGTCACCGATGCAAAAAAAGAGAGGTACAAATATGTAGGCTACCATTAAAAATACTAACATATACACTTGAGGTATTATTATGTACCTTTAATTTACTAATGTGCACCTTATAGAGGTAATTGAGTTGTGTATTATTTCCAAAAGTTAGCTACCGGCCCAGTGACCGCTTTTGCACCTATTTTTCTGAGAGTGCATAAATTCTTATCATAAACGAAATAAAACAAAACCAACCAAACAAACTAAAAGTTAATATTCAAAGCCAGTACTAAACTGTTAACAGTGCATACAACTGTTATCTCTTTTTTTCCCTTTCAGAAATGAATATAAAAGTTTTGAGATCTACTGACTCAACTAATGGATTGATTTAGGATAAATTGCAGGCTGTTTTAATTGTACAGTAGGTTATCCCGTTCTTGTATGATATGGCCTTCTGTGTAGTGCGTTGTTACCAGAGGCGGACAGTAACTAAGTACATTTACTTGAGTATTGTACTTAAGTACACTTTTTGAGTATCGGTACTTTACTTGAGCATTATTTTTTCAAGAATGTTAATATTGTGGTATATATTAGACACAATATTGTCTGATTTTGCTAAATTGTGTAAGTGAAAATATTACGTATAAAGCCACAGAAGAACTGTTGTGCATCTCCTAATAAAACACAATAGGTGTTTGACTGAAGCAGAACTGCACAGATCATTCTGTGTGTGACATCCGCGAGAGCCATTAGACATTTTTTAAACTTTTGTTTTGATGTCAAATAAGTCTTGCTGTTTCGCTTTTTTTGTTAAAAGCAGTGTTTCTGTTGTAAAGTTATACAGCTACAGTTGTGTTGCTGGGTTTTAAAGCAGGTTTGATTTAGTTTCTTCCTTATCACTCTGTATTTAGGTTTTTAACATTCTAAAAGCTCTTTATTCCAAATATACTACAAGCTAGTCAGTGTATTCAGCAGGTGTAATGTATTCTAAGTTGCTTCAGAAGTATTGTAAGTATTACAAACAACAATAATAAAACAGTGCATTGACATAAAAAGGGAAATTTACTTTTGGTACTTAAGTACTTTTAAAAGCAAGTACTTCTGTACTTTTACTTAAGTAAAAATCTGTCTTTACAACTTTTACTTGTAATGGAGTAATATTTGACCAGCAGTATCTGTACTTTCACTCAAGTAATGGAGTTGAGTACTTTGTCCGCCACTGGTTGTTACTGATAAAAAAAATAGAAAAAACACTCGGGTCTCCTGAAACCAAAGATTCCTTCAAAATGAACGACTCATCACTAGGAATGGTGGGGGAAAGTCCTGTGACCATTAGGCTATGATGTGAGCGCAGCATGAGTGCACTTGAATGCCCACCATTTTGAGGAAAGACACAGTGATGTAAACATTTCAAATAAGGGGATCATTATCACACCAGGGTTACACTCTGGCACACTCTTATCAACTATGGTGTGCATAATGGGACGTCCTTCATTATGTTTATCAATTTGTGCCTTTTGTGTTGACAGAAGTCACAGAACACTTGACATGAAAATTCACTTTATTTCATTGAAGCATTTGCTGTAATTCAAATTCTCATGATCATGTTTAATCTTTGCTCAAATTTCTTTATATTAATTTGTTTATTTTATTTATTTCGCCTATTTGTTTGTTTCTTTATTTTTTGAGTAGTAATACTAAAATGACCAAACATGTTAAGCACTGAATATAACTTAATAAGATGAATCAAATACAAATCTACAGGCACAAGATGTCCCTTATAGTGAATGGATAGATCGTCATTCAAAGCTAAACGGCATTAAATAAAATGGCTAGATTAAATTATAAGCAAACTATGCAATTAATAAATCAATCACTTATAAATGTATGTACAGACAAAATGACAGCTGCCACTGACAGGAGACAACACACATTTCAATATATAGATCGAAGTGATTTCAATGCTAAATAGTCCAGTACCGTGACGCGCCAGTAGGCGGAGCTAAAAGGCAGTGGAATCACCAGGGTCATCCCGAAGCGTCTTGCTCTGTCTTCCCCAATAGCCTAATAATACACTTTTGATACGATTTCGATATTTAAGTTTCGGATTATGGAACCGTCTGAAATGCATTTCTCAGCAATGATTCTTCTTGTTGTGAATTTTCAAGAAATTTTCAAGAGTTTCTGGAATATTAATGTATTTTAATAAAGTATGAAAAATTCGTGGAAAAGTTGTCTAGAAATTGATCTTCGTAAGTACAATCTTTATTTTCATTGATCATTTTGATGCTCCATAAAGCTCCATATATGCTTTTCTGCATGTTGGATTGTTTGTTGTTTGAATCACCTTTACAATGATTTCTTGAAAAGTCTGACATTTCTCTCTTACTCTGCTTTATGAACACTAGAAGTAGAGCATTAGTTATTGTCTGGCTTTATGCTACTGTGCTATAACTACGACCACGCTGATTTACACTTGTACATAAACTCTATGAGACCCGGCCGAGACTAAATGAAATATCTAGTTCACGAAATCAAAAGGAGCACGTTGAAACATACATTGAGCAAAGCGAATGAAAAAAGGTTATTTATTTTATTTTTTTTTTAAATAGAACAATCTCTGACTCTGCAAAAA